AGTGATGTTTAAGCCCTATGTTCCACTCGGAACCCAAGGGAACAATAATAATATAGTTATGCAGTAAGCATTCCATGATTTCTTAAGTCACAACAAATTCAGTCCTGCAGACTGTAAAGAGACTCTTCTCAGTGTCTAATTATGATCTTGAACTGCAGAATCAATAATCAAAACCTTTCAAAAGAATGGTTACTGAACAAAGAATATTCTTCTCGGTAACCTCCATTTCAACAGGTTCTACAGTTAGATATACATAATAGTCAATGAATCAGTGTTAATAACAACATTACTGTTGTTTAAATAACATCGAATCAATAATAATAATACCAATGGACTACTGTTCGATGGCATCAACATAACAATACACTGAATGTCAAACAAATTAGGAGAAATCGTAATAATACAAATTCATGAATTTATAGCCTCCACTGAAGACCGGCCATGTATTAGAAATGGCTGGCTGAACTTGCTTCTTATCCACACAAAGCACTGGTTATTTCAGACGATTCGCGATAGCATCTACTGTTTGGAGTATGTGGTACCTGGATGATTTTGGCAATTCATTTGGTACCCGGTAGATGATGGAGAAGGATTCTTCAATTCTGGATTTGTGGCCAGTTCAGACGAGGTGGTCTAACATCACGCTACTGACGCTTCTCACTTCACCCTTATTTAGCCACAGTGATGGATGTTCCAGAGCGAGCATAAAAAACCAAGTTCTTAGACGAACGGCCAGTAAAACTCACTCACACAAGCGCATTTCACTTAATAGATACAGCTGGAGGTGGCTAGTCCAGTTTAGGTACTTCCTCTTTCAATTGAGCAATTACCATCAGTTGTGTAGAAAATAAGACTTGCAGTTTCCCAGCATTACAAGTTCTCTGGACTCATTTTCTTAACTTCGTAATTATTTCACTCGGTGTATCGCCCTTGGTTAGCTGTCATATATATAAAGGCTTCTTATTTACGGATAGTGAATAGTCCTTATCAACTTTTTTTGGTCGCTAGATTCCTGATAAATTTGTCTGGATAGCTATTTTCAATCATTGTATCAACAAAAAAATCATAAAACTGACTTATTCTGTATGTTGACACAGGTATAACTGAGATAGTTCTGAGAATTTATGTTCTGGCAAAAGTCTTTCATGAACCCTTTGCAATGAACACTTCTAAGAACCTGTTTTCGATCTAGTTCCTTAAGTTTAACATGAAAACACACATCCAATGGATTGTGATATTTTGGTAATTAGTCATAACGCAATGGTGGTCTACCCCAACATATTAAAAGTCTCTACATAACTGATTCGTAGTATATATTTACGTAACTTCACTTTGTGTGATGCATGACGTTATTACTCTCCCCCTCCTTTACTTTCTCGAACATACACACACACACACAGATCTCCTCATGACAACTTAACATTAAGAAACTTTGCGCTTTGTTTCCTCATACAATGTTTTTCAGTCAAAAAAAATGGAAATTCATTAGAGTTTTTAAAAAATTACCTTACTTTATTTTCTTTGATGAATTTGAAAATCACCTTGGGTTTTCAATGCTGAAATTTTCTAAAAAACAACACAAACAAATTACGACAGATTACGCATGAAATTTGTAGTTTTATGTTTTGGAAAGAGTATAACGAAGTTAATTATTGTAAATAGTTCTCAATGAATCATTTTCATCTTTCATGTAACATTGTTTGGTTTGGTGTTTGGTTTTTTTGGTTTTTGTTAACAATATCAGTCGTTTAATATGAAATAAATAGTGAAAACAAGAAAAAAAAGATATTTTACTCGTAAAACAGTCACGTAAAAATCTACCGTAGCAAAAAATTCCTTCTAAATTAGTACTAGGTCATTGGGTTACTGATAAGGATTGTCGGATCATTTTTTGAAAAATAATTATGAATCGTTTGATTATTATTGTGTTTTTTTTATAATGAAGCTGGAATGCGTAGAAAACTGGTCTTTAAACTTGAAGGATAAACAATATAGACAAAGTTTATGGTAAACACAGTTTAAAAAAATAATATTAATAAATAGCTACGTTTTCTTACTATGTTCTATGTCGGATGAGATATATGCTTGAGGTATACAGTGAGAGAATTAGTATAAATCGTAACTTGTAGTCAAAGAATATTTCTATAGATTCAACAAAAAGAACATTAACACTCTTTAGTGAAACATACATCAAGTACATCACTTTTTCGTAGCATCCTGAAACATTTCAGTCATCGAGTAATTGAGGGAATGTAGAAATATGCAGGGATTGTTTGAAGAGGATTCTTCTCAGTTAGAAGAGAGTTTGGTGTGTCATGAGGGTAAAACATCAGTATTAATACGATCAAAGAAAGCCTAATCACCGATCAGATCTGAATGAAACAGAATGAACTAGATTGCCTTCACAGTATGTAACGTCAATTGTATTAATTCCGTTTAGAGTTTACACTTTTAAATAGACACACATATTTTAAAGGAGTGCGTCGGCCGAGGATCGAACCGCGGACCATGTGCATGGTCGGCGAGCGTCCTAACCGCTATACCACCGACACTATTTTAACAGTTGGTTTTGACAATTCAAGTTCACCGCCTAGCTAAACGTTTTTGTAAAATATACATTCATTCGTTAAAATAAACTTGAATTCTGACATTTTACTTTGTCTTCTTAAGGAATTCCCTGTGAAAAGATGACAGAAAAGTAGTATACTTCAAACGGGAGTTCTGATAAAATTTACTGAGGAAGTAGTCTAAACAAAAAAGAAGCATTTATAACATGTTGAGTTTCTTGTGGTAATGGTTATAGTAAATGTAGTTCATGCGTCGATCTCGCAGCGGTAGAATGCTAAACAACCACTCATGTGGTTTGGGGTTTGATCCCTGGACGATTTACTCCATTACCTCGCTAAGTTGGTACTACGACTAGTAAAGAGGAAAGATTGGGCATGGGGGGCTAGTAACCCCATCTGGTAAAAATAAACACCACTACTACCGAAACTTCAAAGCTCTAGCTTGAAGCTCTATGTTCCATTAGGAACATCAAAGAATAAAATGATAAAAAATAAAATTTAGTTCACTCTATAAGCCTTTTATTCTACTATCATTGACATATATGGTCGCTATTGTTTGAAATTAGTTTGCCGGAGACATTTAAAATCAAAACTGGAGGTTGTTTTATCAACAGGAGTTCATAATTCGTAGGTTTAGTTTAATCTTCATTCATAATACGCTTATATTAGCAGGAACTACGACAATAGTTAACCGATCGCCTTCAAGTATTTCTTCTAGCTAACTTTTAGACATTGTAGCGCATTGTTATATCACACAGAAATTTACAATTCTAAGCATATTTATCACTAGCTTAGACTAAAATTTTGCCTACTTTCAATACAATAACAGTAAACTACCTACAACCTCAGGTTATCAATATATTCTACAGGCTTCAAAGAGGCTGATACTGGAAGCTATTTAATCTAAATAATAGAGTTGGTAATTTTTAAATGCTTTTGTCATTTCAACTGTCAGAATGTTCCAGGGATTTCCGCCCCCCTTTTTTCATTATAAAATAATAGACTTTAGTTTGACGTTTTAATTATACTCCATTTAATTTTTTTTACCGGCATTGTTTTCCGAGTGGAAGGGATTCACTGAGTGTATATTAACTCATCTTATCGATATGTTTGTCACTGATTAAGTATTATCTGTTGGATAATACTACAAATATAATTTTTTACCCAGTATTATACTACTGATATAAGTGGTTGTTGATAAATTAACTTTTCTAAAATTAGGAATAAAGTCCAAATCTCTTACTACTTCTTTAAATAATCTAATATTACTCAGTATAAAAAGAGAGGTGTATGCAATACAGACATGGCCAAAGAACTCAGTTTTCATTCATATAAGAGAGTAGGACTTTTGTAATGTCATAAATTTCCTTACCATGATATTCTGTCAGCTAGTTTTTTTACAAAATGTAATGTCTCCTGATAACTTGAAAATTCGACGGAAAGTCACGGGTCACTGTTTTCAAGTTACCTTTTGATTTGACTACGCTTGGTACGTTTTATTCCTGGTTTTTGATATGATACCACATAGTAACGTACAGTTTTAGTTCTGTGCTGATATTATTTTTACTGTTAAGGAAGCCTTGGAACTAGACATTGTGCTTATGAACATCCATAAGCAAGGGCATTCTGAAACGTTGAAAAAACACTGATGTCCCCTTGAGATTCGAATTCGTAATTTACTACTACAGTGTTTTTCGGATTGTGATTACTTCAAACCGTTAAATACCACTTAAAAGCGCACCGTCTTTCAGACTTACTTAGCTGAGCGATCAAACTGTAGACCCAGTTGATAAAATTCACACAATACTGGTGACATCTCTATGACTAATCAATATAATCAGTGTTACCACTGATCGTTCAAGTGTGATCCACATTCACAAATAATCTGAGAACTAGGTTACACTCAAAACTACAGCTTAAAATGTAAGGAAGAAGAAGTCAATAGGTGAGTGAATATATCTATTGTCGTTTAATTGGAATAATGGTTTAATACACAGAATACCCAGGGTTTTAGCGATAGCCGTTGCATCTTCAGTCATAAAAACTCACATGAACACTTCTGTAAATGCTGACAATGAAATTCACTCATCACAATGCCACCATAAACATTAGGCAGTTTACAATTAACTTTGCGTCGGTGGCACAGTGGTTAGGACTCTCGCCGACCATGCACATGGTCCGGGGTTCGATCCCCTGCCTGCGCACACCCGATATCTATGGTCGGCCTGAATTTGGGCTACCGATATCCATGCTGAAAATTCCATACTTGTACTGAAAATACGGTGTGGAATCAAGCTGTAAATCAAAAAATAAAAAAAAATCTCATCACGAAAAATACGATAGTGATTTCTGTTCTACTGACATAAAATTGTTGTCAAAATTTGGAAAAAATATTTTATTGGTTTTTAAATGTTTCTTTTTCTATATTTTTAGTTTAATTCGCGGATACTTCTGAAAGGGACACCTGATATCGATGATAACTATGAGCCACATTTTCATGGTATGTTATGAGTTGATGCCTTTTTAAATCGTGTTTGAGAACCGTTATTATTATAATGATTATTATGATTATTGTACTAACTTATTTACTCCAAGACTCGAGTAGTGATTTCACCAGTATTACTTAGACGCTACTGCCTTGCATATGCAATACACTGTACTTCTATTTGTCGTAAGCTAATTCAAAGATCGATTCAACAGCTTTAAGTTAAATTCACATATATATTCACAGGATTTAACTGAACTTGAAGAGAAGTAACACTGACAGGATCAGATAGTGTTTATCAAGAAAAACTGGAATGGAAATTAAGGGAATTATAAAGCTGAAATTGATTTCAAAGTTTGCTAATAGTATCATCTATTATATAATAAGCATTCATTTTCCGAACTCCCTCTTCAGTAGCTTTTCTACTGACACGCAAATTATCAACAGCACTACTGAAAAACTACTTATATCTATTATTAAGTAGCTCACACAACAGTTGCGATTTCATAAAAACTTTCAAAATAATTACATTCAAAACACAACCAATTTTTTTTCAAGCGAATATAGTTAGTTGACGTTTGAAATAAAAACTTTACGGTATGTGTTGACAGGTTAGACAGGTCATAGCAACACAATAAATGAAGCTATCAGTTATATGATTGCCTTCATTCTTGTTTATTTAAAAGGTGTTTATAACCGCTCAGTTTAAGGGTGGGTTCAAGAATCTTCCAGTAAACTACTCAAACCACAGCCTGATTGCCCTTCGTAATAGAATCCGTTTTTCTTGGGTGCTAAGCAGATATATAAAGCACATTATTAAAGGCTGCATTAGACTGATAATACTGAAACGTGAATTATTTAACAAATCCTCTTTTGTGAATAATATCTTCATCTGCTTAGAGATAAAAGAGATGACATTTGTTACTTGACTGTACTACAGTTGAACTTAGCTCAGATCTTTTTCTAGGGATTTGTCAACCTTTATGAAATGGGGAGTTGAAACTGTAGGTATAATGTAATTTCAACGCATTTATTAGATATATTTGCTTCATTCTGTATGATTGTTATTCTCACTATGAGATCACTAGTACCTTCAGTCTCATATCTTTTTCAGTTCACAGTTCAAGCTGAGGCATTTCACTTTATTGTAAAGGAGGACTGATTTCCAATAAAAAAACGCTTACAAGTTAGAACTATTTTTTTTCAATGTATTTCTAGGATAAAATACAGTTCTTTCATTACGTAACTCAGTTCAGTTTATATAAGCTTGAAGTAATTTGTTGATTTCTATTGTATAACTAATGTACTGAAAGCCATTCCGTGTTCATAATGATTCCTTAAATATAAAAGTACCACTACTGAATTGTTTTTATTTCCATTCTGTCTTGTTCACTTTGAAAAGAAAGCTTTTCTTAGCTGTGTAAGCATCGCGACAGGAGTCTGAGTACTGCGTAGTTGAAAAATGTAGCAGCTACTTTTAGTCTGAATATGAGTAGCTTCCTCAGGAATGTCCCCTGTTGGAAGACTAGCTACCAGCAAACATACTTTCGATCCATATTTACAGTTTTATTGTGAAAGTGATACAAGCATCATCCAGACAGTAAGAAATGCTGATGACCTCTCCATTCAGAATCACAATTTGATCGTTGTGACTACCTGATGCAGATGGTGTTCAATTTACTTATGACTGAACCCTGTTTTCCAATAATCTCAACAATGCAAAATGATTGGTTACAGGATTTCATTATGAGCTGACATCGGTTAGAGAACCACTGGAAAACCTGAGAATACTGGACAGCGGCTTCCTCCTAGTTTGGAACTCTTCGGCAGTACACATCCACCACCAGGGTTCGAACCCAAAACCTCCCGGTTACAAGGCGAGCTTGTAGACCATTAAGCCACTAAGATCCGATACAATGACCAGTCCGTGAATTCAAACTTCTGCCAATTCAAGACATAGCGCGACCGATAGCCATTGTCTTCGGCGAGTATTTTTCCTCACACTCGACCTGCTGCACCCTTCTAGTCACCACTTCCCACTAGAGCCCCAGGTAACTACCTACCTGAATAGAGCTAGTCGCTAATGAGCATCTCCCAGGTTTTCCACTGGTTGTCTAACCGATGTCAGCTCATGGTGAAATCCTGTAACCGATCAGCCAAATCCCTACAAACCAATACTTGGATGCAAAGTGAGTTGTCTCCGATAGACAGCGAGATATGTTTACGAAATTGAGAGACTGATGTAGAATTTAAAAATTTCTTTGGTGATAAGACATCAGAAAAACATTTACGTTCTCAGGGAAAAGTTTCTTTTAATAAACTTCAAGGTCAAGCTGTTTATTAGGTCTTTAATCAACTTCAAAGAACAAACCAAGCGACTAGAGCAGTTTCCTTTATACTGTCTTTCCTTGTGCTAACTGCTTATTCATCTAGTCTAATCGATATCAAAATGGTATTTGTGCTTGCAGGTATATACTTAAATCCCCAACAGTTTTACTTCATATATCAACTGGAAAGAAAAACATTTACAGTATTTTTATTACTGTAGAAATAGTAATATATTGTGAGTTAGTATTTCAAGCTGTCTAGTAGGTTTAAAAACTCAGTCGTGTGTCTCACATCAAGCATCATCATTCTAGTTCAAACACGGACTGAACAGCTTTTATCACTGTACATTTTACTGGTTATTGTCACTATAGTTTTAGCTGATTTATGTTGAAATCAAGTGATATTCCTTGAGTTCTTTATTCTCACATCTCCTTCTTAATAACAACTACTGAACAATGATAAGGTCTTGAGGGTTTCCTGAAAATTAACTCCTTCTTTTTAACCAACTGTTTATTTTAAATTAGTGTACTTGCATATTGCACACAGTACAATAATATGTATTTTTCACATAAATCAAGCATTTCCTATTAAACGATTGGAAGACTAATTAAACATTTCTTTAAGTTGGTCACCACAATCGATTTAAAGCATTCTCAAGTAGCGTAAAATGACCGTGTGAGTTTCTTAATAATTTATTCTATAATGGACTCAATGTATAGATGTTCTGTGAGCAATTACTTCGCTAGTAAGCAGGGGGTATACAAGGGATGATGAGTCTTATTGAAGACACTACAAAACCTGTTCTTTACGATTACTAATATACCTTAGTACACATTGTTTAATTGATACATGAAGGTTAAATGCATATATCCGCATATTTTAAAATTCATATGATTTATAGTTTCGTGAAACCAAGCTATAACTTAAAGAATGACTTCATTATAGGCATGAATAACCAGAGTAGAAATTTTAGAATTATTAAATTCATTGCATCACTGTTACAAATATTATTATTTGATTAACTAATGAATCAAGTGATTCATTGTTTCTTTGCATGTTTGATTGATGTCATTTACAAATTTAGCTCATGTTACTAATCAAGGAAATCAGAATCTGTTATTGCAGATCATTTCACAGAGTAGATTAATCAGCTGTTTTGTATATCCAATCATGTGGAATTTATATGAGCATTACTCATATTCTGCCAACAGACGTTTGCTTTCCATCTAAACAGTAGAAAAACCCAGAAAAACATTTTGAACTGCCAAGAGAAAATATGAAATGTGGTATTTTATAGGTAAATCGGCAGTTCTCACTCGTGAGTCACTGAATGTGTTACTACAAGTCGTTCAATAGTTTTTCGACACACGTGATTGCCTGAGACATTCACATCACTAATTACAATGTATAATGATATAATTCTGAATATAAAACACTTTCATTTCATAAACTGAATATACTCCATGATCATTTTCTGCACAGCTTGATAATATTTATGCTGTTCAATAACTGTTTAATACACTTAGTTCCCATGATAAATTTCCATAGAGAAGGGAAGACCTGATTTGAAGTATAAAATGATATCGATCTATTTCACGGGCTCTCATCAACTGCAGACTACCTGAAATTGCAACAGTAATAAGAATGATAATAGGTTACTTCAGTGCTTGAATGCTAATAGAGGAAACAGTATAAAATCAACACATCAGAAAAATATAGGCATTACAATTCTTGGTTCAAGTTGCCATCATTATATATGCTTTCACAGTAGAAAAGGATGGTAGAAGAAGACAGAAAACACAAAAATCTAATCAACAATGTTAGCTTATAAGTTCACATATCAACTCAAGAAAGTTATAGTTTAAGTACTTGCTTAGTGAAGTGAAATTACTAATATGGATGACTACTCAATGTAATTGAAATGCAGTAACCAAAGGAGTGAGAGATGATTCATACTGTCTTTCTGTATGCTCAAGTTTCGTTTCAAACGTTAGATTGCAACTGCTTTAGATTTTTTTTCCTTCACGTTCCCCAGTGGAACATAGGGCTTCAAGATAGTGGCTTGAAGTTTCTGTAACAGTGTTTATTTTACAAGATGGGGTTGCCAGCCTCATGCCCAACCTTTCCTCTTCACCAGCATTATTTCTGGCTTAGTGAGGTAAAGCAGTGCGTCCATGGCCGGGAATCGAACCCGGACCATGTGCATGGTCGGCGAGCGTCCTAACCGCTATACCACCGATGCACAACTGCTTTAGAAATTCGTAGTAAACTTGTTGGCCTTAGTATGTTTAATACTTTGAAGGATATGGAAATTCCGACAAAATGACCTGTATCCATAAGGTATTAGGCAGTTTCACTTTGCGAGTGTTTGCTTTCATTTAGGCACAAGTTTTCTGGAATATGATAGGAAAACACCAGAGGGAAGCCCTTCTTTCTGTCTTTCTAATGTCCTTGTTCATGCAAGTACACGCAAATTTATAAAGGCAGTTGTCCAATAACTGTTTAATGCCGTAATAATATTATGACTGTTTCTTCTGACATATTTTAGTTAGTTACTTACTGTATTACAAGAAAGCACTGAATACCATTTTTATGATTGATTACTGTTTATTTTTCTGTTTCAAAAGTTAAACATGATTTATGCACATATATCAGTACTTCATCAAACATTTTATTTTTCTAAATGC